CTTACAAAACTAACAAATTGGAATATTATGGTGCCCTAACCAAACTAGAGGGCAAGTTTCTGACATCCCACATCAACAGAATCCCGATTCTCTGTCGAAACCGCATCGAGATTTATACATACACTCTCAGTTGACGAAAAACAGAGGGCTTGCATTTGATCAGAGGGGATCGATTCCATGCTGAGAGACTAGCAATCAAAAACCCTAAATCGTTGAGAGACTATCAATCGAAGAAGCATTTGATTTCTTGGGAGTTAAAGGACATGCACCGGGAGTCCTGATGCATTCTTGGTGGGTATGGCAAGATGGCAGTTGTCAGCAGAGAATCGTCGGTGCTTCTTTGAGATGTGGATGAGAAGCGGTCGCCGAGAGTGGTGGATGTGGGACTAGGCCACTGGGGAACCGCCTAAAACCATCTCTATACCTTAATTACAATAATACCCTTCCGTGTATACTTATTATATTTAATATATTATTAATAAATTTAATCTAATATAACATGTGTACACTTCTTATCGGACAATATGTGTTTTCGCATTTTCGCAACTCATTTGTGCTTTCGCAAGAACCTATATATATATATATATATATATATATATATATATATATATATATATATATATATAATATTATATATTCAACATACATCTTATAGTTATTTATTATTTTACTAAATTGTATTTTACTAGATTAGAATGTATTATCCAACGAAATACTATACTTTGTAAAAGTTTTTTTATCTATAAAATATTAAATTATAACATATTTTTTGAATAGTTGTTCATAAATTTTAATTCCCAACCAAACAATTTATGTTTGTTTAGAGTTGACTAATATTAATGTTATATATTTTCTTAAATGTCTCATTTCTTGAAAACTGAATTGTAAAAATTGATCCAACCGAATCGTAATTTGGTTGGTTCGGATCAGATTTGAATTTAGTTAGAACAATTTGGATTCACGTTTTGAAATCGAAATCAATTTAGATTCATTTAATTGGATCGGATCACTCCGATCCATCCAAATAAACACCCGCGAAAAACTTTCTTATTTTAATTTCTTCGGTACGTCGACCATTAGTTTTAAAAACGGTTGATTTTCGTATGGAAAACTAAAAGAAACATTGGATTTGTTTAATTGAAATATAAGGAATGGAGAATTGTTTTAATGGAATAGATTAGGTTTTAGTTTCGGTCTTGAAGACCGTAGTTTGAAAGAGTTGATAATTGTGACGTGGCGCAAATCCAAGGACTGGATTAGTAAATGTCCTGTGCCATTTTTCTAGAAACAACCAAAACGCCACCTCTTTTCTGAACCTTAATCTAAAAGATAACTTCGACGCGTTCTTGTTTCATATATAAATTTCAATCAGTTCAATCATCAAACATAAAAACTAATTTAGTTCAAGATTCAATCATGGCAGCAGGTTCATCATCTCCTCCAAAAGCAACACCACCACCACCACCACCACCATCTTCATCAGAGGACACAGAGAAATGGGGAACCCATGTCATGGGACAGCCGGCGAACCCATCTGAACACCCTGACAATCAAAAAGCCGCCTCATGGAACGCCGCAGAGCACCAGCAGTTCCACCACCAGCAATCGCCGTATCTGATTTACTCTCCCGTCGACAAACCCACCAGCAACCCATTAGAGCCTGTCATCCACTTCTTCAATTCATGGACCACCAAGGCAGACACCATCTCCCGCAACATCTGGCACAACTGTACACATCTCATCTTCTTCTTTTTCCCTTTAAATATTTGATTAAACGAAATCAAGTTTACTGATTAATGAGATTTGATTGCAGTGAAAACAGGGCCGTCGGTGACCGGAGCAGCGTGGGGTAAAGTGAACTTAACGGCGAAGGCAATCACGGAGGGTGGATTCGAGTCTATGTTTAAACAGATCTTCTCACCTTCTGATCCAAACGAGAAGCTGAAGAAAACTTTCGCATGTTATCTTTCAACATCCACCGGCCCTGTCGCCGGAACGATCTATCTATCCACTGCTCGTATCGCCTTTTGCAGCGATCGACCGTTGTGCTTCACGGCACCTTCCGGTCAAGAAACCTGGAGCTACTACAAGGTATTAAAAAGAATCCCTTCCTGAATACCAATTGAATACGGGATTTGTAGTTCAATTATGTTTCTAATTTTTAATCAAACAGGTTATTATACCATTGGGGAATCTTGGAGCTGTGAATCCGGTGACGATGAGGGAGAAATCGTCGGAGAGATACATACAGATAGTTACGGTTGATGGTCATGATTTCTGGTTCATGGGATTTGTGAACTATGAGAAAGCTTCGATGCATCTTATGAACAGCTTATCGGAATTCAATGGAAGAGTGGCAGCAGCTGGTGATGTCTAACTTGATGTGGTTTGGTTTTGAGATTCTTGTTGTTCGATGTATAAGACTATATGTAGATCGCCGGAAATTTGTTTGTATTATCTTCTGGTTTGTTTGTATCTAATTACGGCTGTATTTATTTCCGTATGTATGTATTTTGGATGTCAATTTAGATTTGATTAGTAATTATAGAAATATTTTTGTGGATTTCAGAAATTAATTCTATCTAGAAATACTTTTGGATTTTAGAAATATTTTGGATGTATATTTGGATTTGATTAGTAACAATGTGATATCATCCCGTAAAGACGTAATTTATAAATTTCTATAAAAAAAATTTATTAGGTAGAGATTATTTTTATAATCTTTTTAAAATATTAACCGTTTTTAAAAAGACATGGATCTTTTTTTTTTTTTTTGAAACTACAAGAACATTTTTTGTTATTTATTTGTTACATATGAACTAAACTTAAACTTGTCAACATTCAACGTACTTAAACATATGGACAATTTCTATAAAAAAAAATTGCGTGGACTCTTAAATTAAATGAACATATTTTATAATTTATTTTCTATATAGGGATATCAACGTAAAAAAATGTTATGGTCAAAGTGAATATTCCACATAAAGAATGACCAAAGGTGTAAATATTTTAAACTGGAAATCAGAATGACAACTATATTTTCATTTCCAATTCAAATTAGACATATAATAATTTAGGGTGTGACCAAACTTAACAACATACGAAAGTCTATATAGACATGCAATATATTAAAGTTGAAGGGATGAAAATTGTCGTCGTTCAAAATTGAGAGGGTAAAATGACAATTTATAAAATAAAGAGTGAAAAGTGTCATTCTACAAAGTAAGGAGATGAAAATTGCCAGAAATATGAGGACCAAATCTATCAACATAAAAAAGTTTTGAGGCCACGTCTAAGGGAGGACGGAGTCGTAACGGGTTCAAGGAGTAGAGGGAGGAGCGGGAGGAGAGCAAGAGAGAAAGAGAAGGGTGTTGGGGTTTGAGGAACCCGCTGGAGGTTGAAACCAAAGCAAGAATTTAGGGAAGACGGGTTGGGAGGCATCCGGTTTGTAAAATAAAAAAGTTTTGTTTGAAACCATAAAAACTAGTGTTATACTCGTCCGGTGGACGGTAGATGGGTTAACTATTGTATCTTTGACAAAAAAAACTTTTAGAGATAACCAAATTTAATCCAAATAGTATTAAATATGAAATAACATTAACAAATAGTATTAAATATGAAATAACATTAACATTTATAGGAAAAAAACAGAATACTAATAACTTAAATATTTTGGTAGAAAATATTTGATAAAAAAGTGATGCTTGCAATATGGTATCTATAAGTATTTGCTAAATTTGAGAATTTAAAAACTTAATATCATCCCTTGGAGTATGCATTTGAGAGTAACTTTGCACTATTGGTTTCTACTTTCAAGAACTGGCCATCGCATTCAATTTGCAAACTATTAGAACAAATATCCAAACTAGTAGAACAAATATCCACCAACACTCACTCTCGCTTACAAGTTGCATTTCTATGTGGTAAGCAAGAAAATAATAATATTTATATGGTAATGGAACAATATAAATGATTTTGTATTATACCATACGAAATAAAACATCAATAAATTCAATTTTAGCATCATAAAGAATGTGTATCATGTAGTTGAGAAATTGAGATAAGACACATTTAAGTGAGAATTTGATCAACAATAGGCACGAAAAGGATATGGACAGATTCCAAGCTAAATAAAGGCCTAACTACGAAATACTTGCAATATAAGTGGCAATTTGAGAATTGGATCAACAATTAAATTATTTGATTCTACAAATGTAATATAAGCTTCCATTTTCATTTACATTCCTTAAAAAAAGCATAAAACTAAAATTTATTTGGGATAAGACATGCAAAACGACTAAATGGACTAAAAAAGTTCTTCATTTGTGCATTGGTATGTGTCCAGGATCGTCATTCATCACTTGTATCATCTATAAGACAACATTTGACATGATATTCACCTTCATGTGTGTATTGGTATATTTCCTGTTGAATGCATTTTGCTTTCATAGTTTCATCCCCTTAATGTTATCTGAGCACCATCAAGATCCATTTATGATAAAATATAGTAAATTTTTCACTGTAAAATGCTATAATAAACAATTCATGTAAGAAATAGCAAGTTACATTAATTTCTTCCTATTACAACATTGTACTTTGAAAGTAGAATGTAATAATAAACAAATAAATGAAAGTAGGTTGCTATTTCTTGCAATAACATTATTAAGATTTTCCTAAACTACCCTTTCTTCTATAAGTTTTACCCGCTACCGGTTATATAAAAAAGATGAAACCAAATCAAATTAAATGCATACTATTGTAATGCCCGTGTTTCTAGTGTGTAGTCACTTTCATCTTCCACATAGATATGAAGTATTTTATATAAATCAGGTGAGTGTGTAGTCACTTTCATCTTACACATAGATATGAAGTATTTTATATAAAATACGTGCTATGTGTATATATATGGTGTTTGTTTATTCGAGATGGGTGTTGAATGAATGTTTTATACATGTTTAAAATGATTTAAAATGTATATATATTTTATCTTCGAATATGTTGGGTAAAACATGGGTAGATAAAGTATGAGGGATAGAAGTACAATATAGATGTACGTTGGTAGCTATGAATTTTGTACGGTATAGATGTACGTTGGTAGCAACGGATTTAGTATGTTGGCAGCTGGCAGCTATGGACTTAGTGCTTTTGTATAAATCTGGCGACGATGTGACTTCGTGCCTATTAGATAAACCCTGGCGACTATGAGACGTAGTGCCTATTAGATAACCCTGGCGACTATGAGACGTAGTGCCTATTGTATAAACCTGGCGACTATGAGACGTAGTGCCTATTGTATAACCCTGCCGACTATGAGACGTAGTGCCTATTGTATAAACTTAGCGACTATGAGACGTAGTGCCTATTGTATAAACCGACGAACTATGTGACGTAGTGCCTGTTGTATGAACCCTTGGGCAGCGATGGACTTCGTGCCTATTCCTTAGGATGAATCCTTAGGAATGAGTGAGATTTGATTCTTAGGGTAAATCTTTTAAGAAATAAATAAGATAAGGGATTGGGTAATGGGTTGATTGTGATGTTTAAGCATAATAAATTATTTATTGTGGGTTGAAAACCCTATATGCTCACCAGGCTCCCGAGCCTGACCTACTCAGTTGTTTGTATCAAGGTATCGATACGAAGTACTTTACACTGAGAGATTAAAAGAGATGTAGATCACTAGTGTAAGTTCTGTTTATGCTTATGTCTATATTGACGATGACATCCCAATGGTTTAAGTGAATAAAATACATTTCTTCAGAAATGATTTGATAATATAATTATATGTTTTATGGGAACAAATTCCCGCAGCCCTTTTAAAAGGATTACTCTATTTTATTTTAAAAAGCATAAAGAAATCGGTCTTTTCTAGCCGAGAAATTAGGGGATGTCACAGTGGTATCAGAGCATTAGTTTAAGCGAACTAAGAAATGTAGGATTTCTAGACTTAAACTTAGAATGCTAAGTGATGATTGTGAGATGAGTGTCTACCATATTTAGACACGAGCACTAGTTTATTTTAGGAAAGATGCCTAAAATGTTTTTATGTGCTAAATGCTATATGTTTGCCATATATGCCATTATTTGTTTGGATCTATGGTCTGTTGCCGACCGGATCTGGAAACCTTATGTGTGTAGGATTCTAAGCGTACGATTACGATATTAGAACTAACATGTAAACGTTTCGGAGTGATAAGTGAAGGGAATTAAATAACCTATCGAGGGTAAAGACCTAAATTCGCCTTATTCGGTATATAGATTGTAATGGTAGAACCACGTAGTGGAGTTGCAAATGCAAACGGAAACAGGGATCAACAGCTCAACCTCAAGTAGTTGAGCAAGTACCGTTGTAGGCTGCACCTGAGCCAATGACGATGGCTGGGGTAAGCAATGATGCAGATGATGTTAGATCGCCAAATGGAGGAGACCAGGCGATTACTACAACAGAATGGGTAAGAAACTACGATACCTGTTGAACAGCCCGTATTGAATGAAGGGGAATCAGTAGGAGGGAACTACAGTGGGACTCTTGGTCAAGCCAACCCACCGATAGTTAGACAAAACAACCAGGATGGGGAGTTGATGGACGCGGGTGCAAATACAAAGATTTCATGGCATCTAAACACCGTGTCTATCTGGGAGTCCGACACGGTGGAAGTCATGAATTGGATCTTCGAATGGAGACGATGTTTGAAAGCTGTGAGTGCAGCAACAAAACAAAAGACGCACTTGCAATTCCTCTTTGAAATTTGGTGTGTTGAGCTGGTGGAAGTTACTAGCTGATTCGATGCCCAAGGGGGAAGCTAGCAAGATTTCGTGGGAAGAGTTCGTGGTGCAACTGAAAATGCAATACTGCTTGAGCAGGACCTTCTGGAAATCAACAATGAGTTCCAGAATCTGAGAAGGGAAGAAGATGAGCGTCATCGAGTACGCTACTAGTTTTTATAGAAAAGATGAAGCTTATTCCCTATCTAATTCCAACTGAAACTCTCTAAGGCAACAAGTTTGCCCACGGTTTTACCAGCGGACTTTGTCCGATAGTCAAACAAGCAGCCCACTCTGAAAGCCGCCATCTGGGCTGCTAAGAATGTCGAGACTCAGATAAGAGAGAAAGGTTTGGAGGAGCTGAATTGGAGAGAAAAGGAAGCATGAGGGTCTTCAAAGATCATCAAAGAAAGCAAATTCTCAAAATCTGGAGGGAAGAGATGAAGCTAAGTGGTGTGAGAAGTGTAAAAAGAAACACTTCGGGAAGTGTAGCGAGGAGATGACTTGCTAAAAATGTGGGAAGACAGGGCATTACGCCAACAAATGCGCATCTAACAAAAAGGTGTGCTACGAATGTAACGAAGAAGGGCATATTTCTAGAGACTGCCCAAAGAAAAACACACCGCCAAAACCAAAGGCATTCCAAATGATCCTTAATGAAGTAGATGGAAATATAAGGGATCAGGAGTAAGGACCTTATATTCCCAAAACTAAGACATAATAGTAATGCAAGTTAATAACTCGTGGTGTAGCCTATTAGAGGCGTAGTATAGGGTAAACTCGAACCTCTG